CATCCCCCCCCCCCCCCCCCTCCACACTTCTACAGCACTGCATATAAGCTAGAAAATCAAGCTAATTAAAAACAAAGTAATTTTGAGAAGCACGTCAAAAGATTTTGGTGATTCTGAACGTTTTTCGTCGTACATACGCGACATAGAAAATATATGTCTTTAACAAATCGACCCCAGCAGAAGTGGATACATCAACGTACTATAGTATGCCTAGTAGGTCAGGTTTTTTTTAGGATTTTCTCTTGGGCCCGTTTTTGCAGAGAAGATTGAGTTTAGCTGAACAGCTGGTGTGGCTGCACCCCCCCCGGGGCTGACACCTGTACTCAATAAATGTATAGTTGAGACGGAATGTGTTCAAGCAGGTGTACTAAGGGACACTATAAACTGGTTAAAGATGGCGAATGCATAGTTTTTCTTGTGAGATGAATTCCAGCCATTTTTTCTTAATTGTCGGGTTTCCAACTGAAAACTAATTTCCACACGCCACGAATTTAACTCAAGCAACTTCATTTTTACTGCACTGAAACTTTGGTGAGAACATTGAGTTTCAAAACTCAATTCAAGATTGAGTTTTTGAGGCCGTTTAACGGTCCTAAAAAATCCCTGAAAAAAACCCTGTAGGTACACATCTACTTCTACTGGGGTTGGTCTGCTACGCCAGGCTCCATCTTTATGTGCAGAATCCTTAAATTTACATGCAAGCACGTGATAATACATTTTATTTTTTTAGTTGTGCATGCCTAGTGATATTTGATTTCCTGCAATCTGATTGAATCAGCCGATCAGGATCAAAGTTATGAGTATAACTTATAAGTTATTACTTATTAGTCTGCTACTCTGCTTTAACCCTTCTTCGGGCTGACGGGCTTCGATCTTGGCCTGTCGCGCCACACTATTAAGTATTTAAATTAAATAATCGCCTACTACGTTTGTTCATTTATTTGCCTTTATGGCTTTATACATTACATGGTGCAAATTATTTTAGTTTTGTTGTTAATTTGTTAATTGTTATCATAAGTCATAGTCTGATAGACTTATCGTATTGTTTAATATTTGTTATTAAAAATGACCTTTCCTTTGCTTCTTGTTTCATTTGTGACTTAGTAAAATGGCAGAAGTTAGAGTCGATGAAGTGGTTACTGTAGTTCGAGGTAAGCCGGCCCATAAGCCGAATTTACTTTACATTGTTCAATTGTTGGCTGTTGCCTGTTTTCTCTTGGCCATGGTCACAGCATGTCAGTATCTAACCTCGCATCTAACTACTCTGCTCAGTCCTTTTTGCCCATAAATCTATAATACTACTAAATAGACTAGCCTGACCTGACTAGGCGGTATTACCGCCGGTATATGATATCTTTACAGATATCTTTACATATCTTTATAGAATTTCGCTTACCTCAAAATTCCTCAACAGTCTGTTTCACCTGTAAAGAATCATCAGGCGGTATGATTCTTTACA